GCGCATAATGTATACAACGGCCATTTATATCACGCTTATATGTACGCCATGTATAATATATACCACGCCCATTCATGTCACGCCTTATGCATGCCACGCATAATGTATACAATGGCCATTTATGTCACGCGTATATGTACACCATGTATAATATATACCACGCCCATTCATGTCACGCCATATGTCTGCCACGCATAATGTATACAACGGCCATTTATATCACGCTTATATGTACGCCATGTATAATATATAATCAACCTCATTTATGCGAGGATATGTACGTTATGTATAATATATATGAGGAGAATCTAATAAGTTATTCCCAAATATGTCATGACAATCTGGAATAATAGTATATATTCTTTAAATTGTTAGGGAAGGCGAGGACTGGCATCGGCACAGGAGTGTAGTACAGAAACCTCTACTACGACCCAAATCAGTTGCATTGCACAACAACGCGCTGAATGAAGTTGCTGATGATCTCATTGCTAAGATGAAGACTGGTCGTGATGAGAATAATGTCATGGCAACCATGGATGATGATTTATTTCGCTGGGCAATGGAAGGTTAGCATTTGTTGTCCTAATACAATGACTATATTATGGGATATTATTGATTTACTGCATATGCTTTCGGGAAAGGGAATTCGAGTTTGGGGCTTAGTCAGTTTCAAGTAAAGTCATTGAGTTAAATCGATATTTGAATAGATTAAGTTTTGATTCTTATAATTTTATTTAATCTGCGGTATTGCAGGTGTGGGCACAGTATTGTTTGAAAAACGTATTGGACTGATTGGAAAAGGAGTCAACGAGGAAGCCGAGAGGTTTATCAGCGCTGTTCGCGATTTTTTTGGATATTCAGAAAGGCTTATTTTCTTTCCATTAAAATATCAAGAGAAGTTTAACATGTCTGCTTGGAAAGGGATGGTGAAAGCAGCCAGAACACAATTCGAGATAAGTACGTACAATGTCGTATGCGTTGCTTTACCGAAATCGCTACAACAACTGTTACTGCCAGTGCATCCAGTCTCTGGTTTTGAATTTCGATATGAGCCACGGAAGTTAGCTATTTCACCAAACTATATATTTGTTGCATTCAGCTGAACGGTTCATGAATGAGAAGTTAGAGGACATGAAAAAAACTAGAAGTGAAGCCGCCACCACAGATGTAGAGGAGAAGCAGTTTGTTAAGTATATGTATTCAACGGGGAAACTAACAGACAAGGAGATACTTGCAAATTTGACAGAGATGTTTGGTGCTGCAGTTGACACTGTAAGTTATGTTACTTTTATGTTAATTTGAACACTGAGTTTTAAATAGTGTCACTCATGTTTACATTGCTGATGACACCATGGAAACTTTGTATAATCGTGTTTTTTTAGTCAAAAATCACAAAAAATGGATTGATTGATTATGAAATCAACCACACTCAATCAATCAAGTGTATCCCAGCAAACACCGGATGTGTCCCCTGTGATAATACCCTCATAAAAATGTTATTACAATTTTTCTTTTCACTAGCCTGAATTCCAATATTGAGTTAGTACTGGCATTATCGAAAACAAGTTCAATGTAATAGATGAAATTCTAGCAAATGCAACTTGACGCTGAAACTCTTACGGTAGTCATCGCACAACGCATGCGCGAGATATATGGGTCTCATATAAACAAAGATCATAGAGTACAGACTGAGACGTTACCAAGTTTTTATTAGGTTTTTTTGTTGGTGATTGGAAGATTTCGACGGAGTCACCGGCGGCAATTAGTTGAAGTCACACCCAGGTCAAACCTCGTACTTGTGATTTCCAATAGAGGAGCGCAATGGATTGTGGGAAAATCAATGTTTATCAACACAAATGTCGCACATGCGCAGCGCGACAACCACCGCCCTTTAAACTCATGTTATAAAATCAAATCATAAAGCTAGTGGCAACGATTCTGGATAGTCATTATGTGTTTTTTACTGCCCTCAATGTCTGGATCTGATATATTTGTTATGAATCCTTATTACCAAACGCTTCAGCGTGGTATTAAGAGTTTGTTTTCAGGGGTGGGTGATACCAAGGTGGGAAATGGATGCACATATGGGGTTAATTCCTTGAATTGCAATATAGAGGGTTCAGGCTGAAATACAATATATAGTGTTTTCATGTTTCGTCTGATATTTCTGTGGTATTCTGCTGCTGTAAGTAATGCTCGATTTGTTCCGAAATTCAGTATATTGTGTGTATTCCAGGGTTATTCGTTTTTTGCTGAAAACACCCCTATTTTTTAGTGGCAGAGTTTGAATAGTCTCACTCCCACTGGGAAATCTGCATTGTTGCTTGAATGTGAGTTAATTAAACACATTTTCCAGACCGGCGAAAGAGTATGCAACAGCCAATTTTAACAGCCTGTCAC